TCGTGCTAAGTGTCCCAGTCAGGATCCCAGTCTGCTTGAGAAATGGCGCGATCTTTTGCATCAGTTGGGACCCCTGTCAGGTTTGTTCGCGCAAACCCAGGAGTCGGTACACGGCGTGGCCCACAGCGACCGCGTTTTGGATGTCATCGCCCCTAGTACGGCACTGAAATATATCACCTCTATGAGAAACTTCATGCGGATTTGCTTGCAGATGAATATATCTCTTGCATCGATGTCGGATGTCGTATTGGCAGACGTGCTTTTGACCCTTCAACTGAGCAGGTCTTCGGATGAGTTGAAGATCTCATGTCATGCCACGATCAAGGCCATTCGATGGATGGCGAAACACGCAAGTGTTCGAGCCTTAGACTGTGCGTTTTCAGACATTGTGCTTTTTGTCCAGAAAAGTCCCTAAAGCCAAACGGGAGGCCCCACCGCTGCCCCTGTGGACCCTGGTGCAATGGGAACGTAGATCCTTATCTTGGGTTCTTTCCTATTCATGATTTGGAGCGGACTGAGATTCGCAGACCTCCAAAGAATCACGCTCCCGGACCTGATCCTGGATTCCCGGAACGCCCGGGGTTGGTGCTGGAGGGCAAAAACCTCCGCGTCGGGGCACGCGTTTGGAGTCGTCTCGAGCGGCTTCCTCAGCCGGGGAAGTCGCACGTGGCTCTGGAAATTTTTGACCACTCTGGACACGGTCTTGAGCGCGCAGGATTCCAAAGTCATTGACTTCCTTCTCCCTGCTTGCACACTTCAAGGGGTTATTTATCCCCTCGAACCGATGGCGTACGCTGGTGCCTTGGCGTTTTTACGAGAGCTTGCGCATTGCGACTGGCGCTCACAGCCCAGCCCGTTGGGCGACATTGCATTGTCATTCACAGTCCATAGCCTGAAGGCCACACTGCTGAGTTGGGGCCCTCAGTTGCACGAGGTCGTATCAAAAGAGGTGAGATTGGCTCAAGGGCACCATAAAGACTCCAACCAATCCTTGGATCTTTACGGCCGGGATAGTGTTTGTGGATCACTTCAATTCCAACAAATTGTAATCAATCAGGTCCGCGCCGGGTTTCGCCCTCAGATTGCTCAACATCGAGGTGCTCAGGCACCTTTGATTGAACCCCCAGTGAGTTTAGAGGCCTTCAAAAAAGAGATCCCTCAGTACACTTGGAAGTGGTTTGACTTCAATTCCCCCCTCGGGGGAACGCGTTGTGGAGGTGGACCTCCCGGATTGCGTTGAGGAAGACTCCTCCTCGGATAGCTCAAGCTCTTCCGATGACTCGGTACAGGAAACAAATCCAGCAGTTTCGAAGCGTTCCCAACCACCCGTGGTGGACGAAGTCTTGATGGCCAAGTATCGCACCGTGGTGCATGCGTTGCTTGACGACTTGGAGTCGACGGAGACCGATTCCGCAACACAGCTCCTTCGCACGGCCTGTGGCCGCAAGCTCCCCAAATTCGCCACAGTGGTGATAGATTCGATCGATAGCACATTGACATTGCGCCAGCATAGTGGTTGCCGAAAGGCCTGGGCATCACTCGGATGAATGCGTTGTATGAGTCAAAAAGAGGTGAACAGACACTCACTTTCTGCTTTATGTTGCATTTTGTGTGGAATCAGATGGAAACACCACATTGTTCACACCTGAACAGGGGTCTTCGGCCAAAACCCTGTTTCGAATGTCTTTCCAGTTTTTTTGAACAGAAGATCAAGCTTTGCTTCAGGTTTGCAGTTCATGTGCAGTCAAATGGGAAACCCAACATGTCACTTTACGTTTCTTTTTGGGACAGGCAGGACTTGGTGGCGTGGATTCAAACTCACTGGTTTTTGGCGTCGGTCGCTTTTGATGTAGAAACAGGTAGGAGGAAGGTGGTCACGAAGTGATAACCATGTCTTGCTGCCCGGCGTAAGTAATACTGGAGCGTAGTACTGATTTTGAGTATTCTGGGTACAAAGAAATGCAGACGATGCTGCCCAAGATGGAACGCATTATTGGCACCACGGGCCGGGAAAAACAGGTGTATCAGATACACCTGGTTTCTCAACGAAATTGGATATATATATATATATATAACCGCTTGTATGGGTTATATGTCTACTGTATAATGTAAGTTCCTTTGTTTTTGGCGTTAGATACGAGGATTTCCAGGGGTCCGTTTCGGGTACGTTCCGCAGGACTTGGCAAAGCTCAGTTTTTTTTCGGGACGTTTCGAATGACTTGCCGCTTGTTTCAGGATGCAAAAAAACAGGAATGCATAGGTAGTTCTGGCGTTCTGAGAAGTTTCATCATGAGATATCTCATTGAACGTTCTTTCCATGTTCACACAAGCTTGCTTTCTCAACTTTTTCTTCCATCAGTTCCCATATACCTCTTCTCAATTTCAGGTGTTATCACCGCCGTCTCCAGTGCCATGGACGAGCCAGGTGAATCCTCACCTCTGGAGGACCTACTGGCCAGGAGTGGCGTTCCAGCCATTCTATCCTCCCGCCTGTTGGCAGAGGGCTGGACCTTAGATTCATTTGCATGCAGTGCCACTTCTATGACACAGTTTGACGACATCTTACCAGAATTGTTGCCTTCGGAAGAGGTCAGCTTGTTGCACAAAGCCGCACTACGCTTGGCATTCAAACAGGCGAATAGTCTTCCGAGCAGCTCTTCCGGCGGGCCGGGACCGTCATCTGGGCCTTCAGGCCAGTCAGATTCTCCGAGTTGGGTTGAGACCTTCGCACCGAAGCTAGAAGCCGAGACCATTCGTAAGTTGAAAGCAACATTTTTGTCGAACTACCCGTCGGAATTGTTGTCCCCGGAAACCATGCCTAGTACTCGCCTGTTAAGCTTGGTGCACCATCAATTGGCAAAACGCCAATGGCATTGGATCCCATGGAAGTTCCGCCTTTCAGCTTCGAAAGCAGAGGAAATCTCACAGCAGCGCTCGGCTAAGATCCCCAAATTGGACTCAGTGACATTGCAATCCCTTTTGTGCGATGATCCGCCATCCATTGAAATCTCGAACCAAGGCATGGGACTTCATGCCATGAGAACCATGTTCGATGTCCATAACTTAGCCATCGCACTTTGCAATGGTGCACACTTGGCTACATTGAAAGGATATACACAGAAGTTCATGAGCTTTGTTACACAGAAAGTGGATGCAGAAACGGGACTTCGCACAGCGTCGATCTTAGAGTGCCAAGCAGCGGATCGTCATGTTTGGCAACAGGTGTCTGACCTGATGCTTGACCGAAATTGGTCCATGGACGACGCGTTGTATGAATTCACACATATTCGACATGAGCTTCCGAGTTTGTTGCAGTTGCGCCCCCGCCTGCCGAAACCACAGCAGACTCCTTTCTTCAAAGGAGCAGGACCTAAAGGGCTTGATCACAAGGGGAAAGGGAAGGGTAAGTCCAAGTTCCTTCCCAAGGGCGGCAAAAGTCGCCCGCAGTGGATCACGGAGTTGTGGAAAGATGGAAAGATGATGCAACTCTGTATGCGATATCAGACCAACAAGTGCACGGTGCCCAACTGTCGCTTTCTGCATGCGTGTGCCTTCCCAAAGGGAGACCAGACAGCTTGTGGAGGTGATCGCTCCGCCTTGGACCATTCCAAGGTTCCGCACTGACTAGGTTCAACGTCGGACGTCGCAGCGATGCCGGCACCTTCAAATGAAGTGACGGCCCCATCGGTTTCTACGCCAGTTTCATCTCCCAAAGGGAATCAGCAGGTCGTGGAGCCTATTCCTTCTGGCCCATTTTTTTCCACAAACGGATTTGACAGACGAACCATGCGATAGTTTGGAACCACAACAACATGAAGCAGCTCGTCCGGAAGTCGGGGAGACACCACCCTTTCCTCCACCATGTCCGGTGTCGACGTTGGACCTTTCTCAAAGCCCTCCAGGTCCTCGGATATTTCTGGATTTGTGTTGTGGGGTTTCCAAGCCGCTTTCTACAGCCATCCAAGCCTTGGGCAAGCCTGTGGTCGCCTTTGATATTTTGTGTAATCCTCAGGATGATTTGTTGGACGACAGCCGCTTTGAACAACTTCTCAAACTGTGCGCCTCCGGCATAGTAGCGTATGGATGTGCCAGTCCATGTTGTTCACAGTATAGCCGCCTCAAACTTAGGAATGATGGCGGTCCTCGTGCCCTTCGTACTCCTGAACACTTGGAAGGCATTCCAAATCTCAACGCAGCGGACTTAGAAAAGGTTCAGGCCAGTTCCACCATGTTGTATCGCTGTATAATTTGCTTACAGTTGATTTTCTTAGCAGGAGGTCACGTGCATTTGGAACAGCCGACCAATGCCATGTCTTGGTCAGAGGCTTTTGTACAAACCTTCCTCAAACTGATTTCAGCGCACTGCGTATCCATTGCAGCGTGTGCATATGGAGCGAACTGGCGCAAGAGCTGGATGTATGCCTCCAGCTTTTCAAGATTGACGGAATTGGCCAGCCACTGCAACCATGGTCCTCAGGCCCATGAGGCCATCTATGGGGTTTCCGATCAGACCGGCCTCTTCAAGAGTAGGGCCACTGCTTGCTACCCTACGGCATTGGCCACCGCCTTCGCATTTATAGTGCAAGACCTTCTGTCGGACAATCCGGTCTCCCTTTCTTTGGACCAGGCCATATTCTGGATTCCCTCGAAGCCAAGAGCAGCCCCTCCATTTGGCTCCGAAGACGGTGGTGGTTTACCATCGGTCCCAGACTGGGGCATGGACAACAGGGTTCAGCCAGATGTCTTCCGATCATTGAGACGAACCTGGGTGGACGAGATCCTCACTAGGAAGTTGCACAAGGAATTGGTGGCGCATTTTGCTAGTGGTTCCAAGACACCTCCATTTAGCGAAGAGACGTTGGCACCATTTCGCCAGTCTTTGAATGAGTTTTTTGAGCGCACATGGCTTGAGTCCGGATTGGAGCATCAGGGAACATCAGCCGATGGCCCTCCGCATCATGAGAATGTTGCACTCGATCCAGCAAGACTGGGACGTATCACTTTTCCCTTCTCTGGAAGAGGGTTCGAACGCAATATTCCATTGTCAAACTGCTTCCCACTTCGATCGCAGTCGGCTCGATTCACTGAAGACGTGCCGCTCTCAGCCCATCTTTCCAACTGGAACTCCGCCGAGTCTGACCTGGACCTCACACGTAAGTTAGTCCAAGTCGAGTTGGACGAAGGATGGGTCTTTGAGTATCAGGGCTCCCTAGAGGATGCACAAAGGGACTTCCCCCTAGGAGTGTCTATTGGTAAACTTGGGGTGGCCACAAGTCCGCATAGACCTCCAAGGCTTGTCGTAGATAATTCAGTAAGTGGATTAAATGCTCGGTGCTGGATCCCAGAACACTCCACCTTGCCTTCCGCCAAGGACCTACTGAGATGCTGGCCCCTGCGAGAACAGCAGGGGGATCTCGAAGGGTTCAGCCTTGAAATTAAAGCAGCCCACAAACGAGTAGTCATCCATCCCTCGGAACAGGGGTTGGTTGGCTTCAGTCTTGATGGCAAGTTGTTTTTCTACAGGGTCGCACCGTTTGGAGCGTCATTCAGTGCAGCTTGGTGGTCCAGAGTAGGGGGATGGCTTCTCAGGTTCTTCCACCAATTTTTGTGGTGGAGTCACGTCGGCCTATTGTATGTAGACGATTTCATATTTTTCATGAACAAGATGATGATGCCAGTAGGTGCAACGCTAATATGCATTTTTTTGCCGTCCTTGTCAGATTCCAATCTCTTGGGGAAAATCCGAACTTTCAAGTTCCCTCAAATGGATCGGCTGGGTCTTCCATTTAAATAGTGGATACATTGAACTTCCTAAGGACAAGCTTTCCAAGCTTTTGGAATACTTGAAAGAATTGCAATCGGCATCCAGAACGTCGCGCAAAACATTGGAAAAATTCATTGGTCTTTGTATGTGGGTCACTCAACTGTTCCCCTACATGCGAATTTGGCTTCATCACTTGTATCATGATTTATATGTGATTCCAAGCACTTTGTTCAGCTTAGACCCGGCGTATTGGCCACGCCTCCCACAGTTTCTGTCAGACGAGTTGAAGTTCCTTTCACAGCCTCCTTTTACTGCATTTCCCCTAGGAGGGCAAATCATTTCCGTACGACATCAAACAGTTCGATCTCTGGCCGAGTTGCAGCAAGTCCGAATCTCAGACAAGCGCATTTGGATGAGAGTCTGTGATCCCTCATCCGGAAGGCGTAAATTGTCTTCGCATTCGCATCGAATCTTGAACATGTTTCGTCAATGGATTGAATTTTTGCCTCCCCTTCGACCCATGCAGAGAAAGCGGTACTGGACTGGCACCGCCGCTGCCG